TTAAGGAGGTTGAAGCAGTTTGGTCAATTCTAGATTTTTGTTTGTAAAAAATATATATGATAGTATAGGATCTACCGCATGTGTGAGAATTATTTCAAATTTATTGACCATCCAGAAGCTGAGATATTAATTTCCAAAAATGCGTTGTTTTACATGAGGTTACATGGAGAAAACGTTGACGGCGATGATTTTTCCCAATTTTCTTTAATATCTAGTCTATATAAACGTTTAAAAAACGTGCCTACGCGTACAGTAAATTAATGCGAACATTTAGAGCGGAAAAAAACACGTATTCACCACCTAATAACAAATATATTACGAATTAAAGCGATCGAAATTAGGCTGAAACAGCAGTTGATAGTTCGCGAGTAGATAGATGTGGCAACACAGCGTCGGCAACCTAACCTTACCCAGAATGACAGAAAATTAACCGGCATTATAACTTGGGTCATTTAGAATCTCTAAACCTTTTTTACATTATTTTGCACACTGAATTAGTGCTATACAAAAGGAATACTGTTGTTTTTAGTCGAATTGTGAGATATTGTCGAATTTTATTCGTTTATGAGATTTTTTCCATTTTCGTTTCAATTAATTTTTATAATATTTCGGGCATGCTATTTAAATGCCAATAAAAATAGAATACTTACATTTTGCAACAATCCTTTTATTAGTATAGTAACATTAATGTTTTACATATATAGTATATAGAAATCTCATTATAATAACTATTCAGTTACACGAGGATCGTTATTTTATAACGGTCGACTGTCATAAACTCTACTATCACATTTCGATATACTAACAAAAGATGAACATCGACAGTGGCTACGATAGTAATTTCTTAATCTCTGTAATTAAATTAAGCAAAATCTTCTTATTTTTTGTGACGCGAGGGCGGCCGTTTACGTCTTCTCCTAAAAGCATAGTAACCGCGTCTTCGCCACCATCAGAATACGATTTCTTTAGAAAGTCGATAGTTACACCAGCCTTCGCCATTTTCGTAAGCATTCCTGTGGATACTCCCCCCTTCAGGCAATCCAAATCATGCCTGTTTACTTTAGTTTTAGCAGCTTCCACCTGTGCCATAAGTACCGAGTGTACAGTCACGGAATTAGATCGTAGTTCTTCGTTGTTGATGCCTACAGACTCAATTATATTGGCCAGCATCCTAACGTCTACTAAACTATCATGAGCACCATCGGCAGCCCCGCTCCCCACTAAATCCTCAGCCAAAACCGATTGACGAAAGGACTTTTTAGCTTTTATTCTTTCTGGTAGTTTTTTCTTCAAAAGAGGCAGGGTATCGCAGAATCCAAACACCACTGATTGAAAGTCTTGCAACAATCCCAGAGATCTCAACTCGTTCAACAGCATAGGGGCATCAAAACGTCCGCCATTATGGGCAATGAGGATTACAGGACCAGGTGTCAAGAAGTCGATGAAAGATTTCAAGGCCAGCCTGCGCGGCATGGTTTTCATCTTTTCCCCATTTTGAAACAATTCTCCATCATCCACACTCAACCCTAAGGGAGATAAAAGCGGTTCCATTATTATTTAAAAAGTCCTTGTTTTTTTACTACTAAAGAATATCGTCAACACAAATTATACCTGTCACGAGAGACGCACTCGGTGAAAAGCCATGTGAGGGCACAATGAAAGCGTTGAATTCTTGCAAACCGAGTTTGGCAGAGACTTGGACGATTTCGGATGTTTTCGATAGCCCTGTTGTTTCTAGATCGAAAAACGCTAAGGCACTGGTGCTCGGAATTGGAGTATTTCGAATCGAGTAGCTATTATCAAGTTCTACAAACGTATTGAAACCACATCCTGAAGAATAAGTGATGCCTTCCTTATTTTCTGCCCTCGTGTTTGTATGGTGACGTTGCTGGAATAGTTGTCGGCGTCGACGTTTCTTCTCTACAGTTTTAGCAGAAAGTGCTCGTGCCGCTCTCAGCTTATCTTTTTGAGCTCGATACTTCTCAGTATGTTTACCCGGTGAGAGGTTTAATTTCGTATTAACTGATACCACGTACGAAGTGCCACAATTCTTTTGGCAGACAGCAGACGCCACGCGAAAGTCATTCGACTCAGATCCTCCGTAGTGGTTGCGTTTAGTCGTTTTACTGAGGGATATATTGTGAAATGATTCGTTCCCTTGAGTTGAGCCACATGGCGCGAGACGTCTCGCATTGGCAGCAAACTTTCGCAACACATCCGTTAGCGAAGCTTTCATGTTCTCATCGGTTAGACCTTTACCTCCGGGTAGGATCTTGTGCAAATATGTAGTTGGATCTTTATTGTATCCACACCAGGTTCCACAGTTCGAGTGGTCGTCGAAGGCGTGTGGAACTATGTTTAGAAGACCAGTCCTGACGGCTTCCTCATTATCTTTATTTTTTTCTAGTACGCAACCAAAGCAATACTTGATGTAATCAATTACTTTACTCGGGATCTTCAGAGCCCACAGTGCTTTACTAAGGGTGCAGACAGCGTGATTTTTATCCGACTCCTTTTCAACTGGATGCTCTGATTCGCGTCGAAGTTGGGCTATAGTAGATGAATCGTCATCACCGATGATCGTACCAATCACAACGCCCTCCTCCTTAAGCATTGGATTCTTCGCGAAAATTTCCACAGCCATCGAGGCTTCCATAGATTTTGAACTGCCAGTGTGATTCAGTCGACAGTCGTGATCTTCCGGTGGGTGACCTTTCTCACAGAAGATACACCGTTTGTTTCTAGTTGCATAGCCGATAACTAATTTATTCTTGGATCCGATCCCGATGCCATGAGCTGAAACACGTATATAACACAAATAGCTACGAACCAGAGAAAAAAATAATAGTGCTATAAATTATATATCCGCAATATTGCAGATTTACCAGTAAGACTATTATAGCTTCGACCTGACCCTTTCTTTTGCCATCCGGCGTCGTATGCAGCTTTCAACTTTACTATAGAATTTTGTTCTTCTGGGCTTTCCAAATCGTTTGATCTAGGGGATATGAAACATAATATATTAAAAACATAATAAATTCTAATTATCAAGTAAAAGCATACACAAATCTATTCAGTTCTATTATTGAGCATTCTGGGATAGGAAAAGTCCTTCCGAAAATTATAGGAACGTTGAAGTACCTAGTAAAATGCATACAAAATAATCGGCCGTTCTAATAAAGCGAGAAAATAATATAACAGCTACAACATATTCGTGGAAATTAGAGAGAGTCATACAATCAGATTTTAAGCAAATAAACTCAGATGTTCGAGATTTGGGTGTTAAATATTTAAGACGAAACGATCACTTCAAATATTTACCATCAGAAAAATTATTAACGCATCCAAATATAAAGCAGCAAATAAGTAAAAAAATTGTACCAACTTTATTAACGAATTCTACGTTACGACTCTGGAAACCCTGAAAGCGAAATCAAAAAGCAACATACAGCAAAGTATACGAGAGAAATTACAATAACTATACATCCATAATGAGGTCCCATGATCTAATATTTAATATTCATCCGATATAATAAGTAAAAGGCATCCAGTTAGCAACAACGACCAACACTTTCATCATTACACTATGCTACAGCTACTCATTACTCAACACATTTTTAACTGCCACGATGTTTTCAGTGGTACTGCTCTTCGGGTTCTTGGTTCGATTCTGATCAGTTTTCATAGGCACAGATATTACTATGAAGCATCTACAAGTTCTAAAAACCCTGAAATAAATTCACGTTCATTTATTAAATTTATTCAATAATTAGTGTAAAATAGTTCTCAATGGAGAAGTGAATTTTTATTTATTTTTTTATGTTTTAATTGCATTAGTACAACGCAGATGAGCTTTTGCTTCTGCGCTGTCAATTGCATATGTGATACAATATTTTTCACAATAATTTGTTATCAGATTCTTTACGCTTTTTCATAAAGTAACGTAGCACATAAAAATAGTAATAAATAAGAATTAAAGTTTTCTTACGACATGTCAGCTAACATCAAATCCTTTTCGAGTCTCAATGCTTCTCTGCAACTTTTACGTGCTAAGTCCTCCAGCGATTTGCCCACATACCGTTCATTCCGCTTAAGCAATGTGTTACTAATGATAGGAATATTAAGTATCGACAAAATCGTGTTCATGTGTGTATAACCAATGCCTGCGTCAATCATAGCTAAAACATAATTTCGAGAGTAAATAACAATGCGCACACAAGATAAATTTGTTTTTTTATGTTTCTTACCGAGAGCACTTTTAGCATTCACGTCGTATTGAGTGCAATTGCCGTCCTCACGCTTTTTGTAGCATTTACTCGATTTAACCTCATGAAGCAAGAGGCACGTGTGACATCTCACACGAAAGATACTGGCAAGGCCGATGACATTTTCGTTTTCAACATACCGAAACGATAGTGGAGCGTCACAAGCCGGGCACCACATTTCTTCTGCTAACATTTTAATTTCGACGACACGACGCCCATTGACAATAGAGTCCTTCGAATCCTCGTTCTGTATTTTACGTCTCTTACACGCGTTTCTGACATTTTCCTTCCACTGGAGTTTCCTTTTCGTAGAAAACTTTCCGTTTCTGTCACGGACACGATCACCTTTCGCGGGCATGTTTACGTTTAGCGAGCGCCGCATATGTGGCTCAACACAGAGGCGAGCACTGCTACCAACCTCATAAAAGTGCAACGTTGCCAAGTTTCAATCGTATTTAATATAATCGACGGAAAGTTATTAAAAAATCGACAGCTTATATAATTATCAAGAGAGCTACCAGTAATAATCATTATTTTATTCTATCAACGGCAAAATATATATTCATGCCATTTTTTAATTGAAATAATGAGCAATACCACAAGTTTTCAAGTTGGCACTGGCAAAAAAGTGTTTCGTTTTTAGTTAATTAAAATATAAAGATGCATAATATGATACTTTTACTATACGTTTTATGCAATAGTAGCGTATGGAGAATAAAATGATACCTAATACAGATTTTTTAATGACCTAATAAAAAACTTTTTTCTAAACCGTCAATTGACTCAACTGGACCGCTTCAACCTCCTTAA